CCCCTACTATCCTCCTTGCAGCAACTGCTCGCCCCCTACTATCCCCCTTGCAACAACCGCTCGCCCCTACTATCCCCCTTGCAGCAACTGCTCGCCCCCTACTATCCCCCTTGCAGCAACTGCTCGCCCCCTACTATCCCCCTTGCAGCAACTGCTCGCCCCCTACTATCCCCCTTGCAGCAACTGCTCGCCCCCTACTATCCCCCTTGCAGCAACTGCTCGCCCCCTACTATCCCCCTTGCAGCAACTGCTCGCCCCCTACTATGCCCCTTGCAGCAACTGCTCGCCCCCCCTTTACTATGCCCCTTGCAGCAACTGCTCGCCCCCCCTACTATGCCCCTTGCAGCAACTGCTCGCCCCCTACCCCCCTACTATCCCCCTTGCAGCAACTGCTCGCCCCCTACTATCCCCCTTGCAGCAACTGCTCGCCCTCTTATCTCCCCATGCAGTAGCTGCTCTCCCCCTACTATCTCCCCATTCAGTAACTGTTCTCCCCCCTACTATCTCCTCACGCAGCAACTGCTCGCCCTCTACTATCTCCCAATGCAGCAACTGCTCATCCCTTACTATCTTCCCATGCAGCAAGTGCTCACCTGCTATTATTTTCTTGTGTAGCAACTGCTCACCTGCTACTATCTACCTGTGCAGCAACTGCTCTCCTGCTACGATCTCCCCATGCAGGAACCGCTTGCCCCCTACTATCTCCCCGTGCATGAACTGCTTGCCCCCTTCTATCTCCCCGTGCAGGAACTGCTTGCCCCTACTATCTCCCCGTGCAGGAACTGCTTGCCCCCTACTATCTCCCCGTGCAGGAGCTGCTTTCCCCCTACTATCTCCCCGTGCAGTTGCTGCTTGCCCCCTACTATCTCTTCATGCAGGAATTGCTTGCCCCCTACTATCTCCCCGTGCAGAAACTGCTTGTCCCTTACTATCCTCCAGTGCAGTAACTGCTTGTCCCTTACTATCCTCCAGTGCAGGAACTGCTTGTCCCTTACTATCCTCCAGTGCAGGAACTGCTTGTCCCTTACTATCCTCCAGTGCAGGAACTGCTTGTCCCTTACTATCCTCCAGTGCAGGAACTGCTTGTCCCTTACTATCCTCCAAAGCAGGAACTGCTTGTCCCTTACTATCCTCCAGTGCAGGAACTGCTTGTCCCTTACTATCCTCCAGTGCAGGAACTGCTTGTCCCTTACTATCCTCCAGTGCAGCAGTTGCTTGTCCCTTACTATCCTCCAGTGCAGCAGTTGCTTGTCCCTTACTATCCTCCAGTGCAGCAGTTGCTTGTCCCTTACTATTCTCCAATGCAGCAGTTGCTCTCCCCCTTACTATCTTCCCGTGCAGCAACTCTGCCTCTCATATTCAGTCTCTCTGTCTTTGTAGTATTTTGATGGAGGTGAATGGACAGCCTAGATTTTATTTCTACTATGGTGATGGGGAATGTGGGTTGCTTGTAGTGTTTACCGCACAGCAAGGTGATGGCGGGTTGTGTACAAAGGAACTGCAACAACTTTTCAAGATTATGTATGCTTTACACCCATTGGTTACATGTATTTTCTAATTCTCTTTAGCACTCTCCAAAATTGTTACATAGTATCTCTTTTTACAAACACATATGTATTTCCTGTGTTCCTTAGCCCCATCTAGTGGCCCCAGTGTGGTATTTTACTACTGCCCATACTAAAAGAACATTCATTTGGAAGCGAGAATTGCTTAAAATGTTTCTAACTTTTGCTCAATATACACAGATTGAATGTACAGGCAGATTTGCTGGATGAATGGCTATGTGAATTTTTAATAAATAGAGCCCTGAGTAACCCAAATCTATGTGTTCCAATTCTCACTACATATACAGAGAAACCCCAATAGATCACATGGCCACATCAATGAGGATGGAGGTGGACCGGAGTCAGATAACTGAGAGGATACTAAACCTCACCCTGGAGATCATCTGCGGCATGCGTAGCACACATGGGCGTGGCCAAGTCCCTGAACAGGTGCGGCCAACGCAAGTGTTTCTAACCCCGCCTATAGTTCGTAGTGTGCCATCTTTCCCCCTTATGTATAGACTAAATAGGGCCTGAAGAGATTGAGAAAGTAAAATGAGGTCCAGTGTGGCCAGCAATAAGAGCCCCAACAGTTGAGCCTTGTTTTTACAGCCCCCAGCTGCCAACCCATTTATCTGCATAGGCAGTAGCTTGGGGGTCATGGTAGAAATTATACTCCCTGTTGCTTTTGGCAGGTGCTACCACCTACCAAGCCCAACCCATTAAAGTGAATGGGACTGCTTCGCAACAGCCCAAATGCACACAGCTGTGGTGCAGGGTTCAAGGGGTTAAAGTGGTTCGAAAGGCTGAAAGTGTTTTACCCTCATGTATTCTAGGCATGTGGATAAAAACTTTCAGTGTGCGGTTCCCCCTCCCACCAGCACCCCCAAACTTTCCTGTGCCCTATTGCCCCTACTATCCCCCCATGCAGCAACTACTCGCCCCCTACTATCCCCCCTGTGCAGCAACTGCTCACCACCTACCATCCCCCCGTGCAGCAACTGCTCACCCCCTACCATCTCCCTGTGCAGCAACTGCTCACCCCCTACCATCTCCCCGTGCAGCAACTGCTCGCCCTCTACCATCTCCCCGTGCAGCAACTGCTCGCCCTCTACCATCTCCCCGTGCAGCAACTGCTCGCCCTCTACCATCTCCCGTGCAGCAACTGTTCGCTCTCTACCATCTCCCCGTGCAGCAACTGCTTGCCCCCTACCATCTCCCCGTGCAGCAACTGCTCGCCCCCTACTATCCTCCTTGCAGCAACTGCTCGCCCCTACTATCCCCCTTGCAGCAACCGCTCGCCCCCTACTATCCCCCTTGCAGCAACTGCTCGCCCCCTACTATCCCCCTTGCAGCAACTGCTCGCTCGCCCCTACTATCCCCCTTGCAGCAAACTGCTCGCCCCCTACTATCCCCCTTGCAGCAACTGCTCGCCCCCTACTATCCCCCTTGCAGCAACTGCTCGCCCCCTACTATCCCCCTTGCAGCAACTGCTCGCCCCCTACTATCCCCCTTGCAGCAAACTGCTCGCCCCCTACTATCCCCCTTGCAGCAACTGCTCGCCCCCTACTATCCCCCTTGCAGCAAATGCTGCTCGCCCCCTACTATCCCCCTTGCAGCAACTGCTCGCCCCCTACTATCCCCCCTTGCAGCAACTGCTCGCCCCCTACTATCCCCCTTGCAGCAACTGCTCGCCCCCTACTATCCCCCTTGCAGCAACTGCTCGCCCCCTACTATCCCCCTTGCACAACTGCTCGCCCCCTACTATCCCCCTTGCAGCAACTGCTCGCCCCCTACTATCCCCCTTGCAGCAACTGCTCGCCCCCTACTATCCCCCTTGCAGCAACTGCTCGCCGCCCCTACTATCCCCCTTGCAGCAACTGCTCGCCCCCTACTATCCCCCTTGCAGCAACTGCTCGCCCCCTACTATGCCCCTTGCAGCAACTGCTCGCCCCCTACTATGCCCCTTGCAGCAACTGCTCGCCCCCCCTACTATCCCCCTTGCAGCAACTGCTCGCCCTCTTATCTCCCATGCAGTAGCTGCTCTCCCCCTACTATCTCCCCATTCAGTAACTGCTCTCCCCCTACTATCTCCTCACGCAGCAACTGCTCGCCCTCTACTATCTCCCAATGCAGCAACTGCTCATCCCTTACTATCTTCCCATGCAGCAAGTGCTCACCTGCTATTATTTTCTTGTGTAGCAACTGCTCACCTGCTACTATCTACCTGTGCAGCAACTGCTCTCCTGCTACGATCTCCCCATGCAGGAACTGCTTGCCCCCTACTATCTCCCCGTGCATGAACTGCTTGCCCCTTTCTATCTCCCCGTGCAGGAAACTGCCCGTGCAGGACTATCCCCTCCCCTACTATCTCCCCGTGCAGGAACTGCTTGCCCCCTACTATCTCCCCGTGCAGGAGCTGCTTTCCCCCTACTATCTCCCCGTGCAGTTGCTGCTTGCCCCCTACTATCTCTTCATGCAGGAATTGCTTGCCCCCTACTATCTCCCCGTGCAGAAACTGCTTGTCCCTTACTATCCTCCAGTGCAGGAACTGCTTGTCCCTTACTATCCTCCAGTGCAGGAACTGCTTGTCCCTTACTATCCTCCAGTGCAGGAACTGCTTGTCCCTTACTATCCTCCAGTGCAGGAACTGCTTGTCCCTTACTATCCTCCAGTGCAGGAACTGCTTGTCCCTTACTATCCTCCAAAGCAGGAACTGCTTGTCCCTTACTATCCTCCAGTGCAGGAACTGCTTGTCCCTTACTATCCTCCAGTGCAGGAACTGCTTGTCCCTTACTATCCTCCAGTGCAGCAGTTGCTTGTCCCTTACTATCCTCCAGTGCAGCAGTTGCTTGTCCCTTACTATCCTCCAGTGCAGCAGTTGCTTGTCCCTTACTATTCTCCAATGCAGCAGTTGCTCTCCCCCTTACTATCTTCCCGTGCAGCAACTCTGCCTCTCATATTCAGTCTCTCTGTCTTTGTAGTATTTTGATGGAGGTGAATGGACAGCCTAGATTTTATTTCTACTATGGTGATGGGGAATGTGGGTTGCTTGTAGTGTTTACCGCACAGCAAGGTGATGGCGGGTTGTGTACAAAGGAACTGCAACAACTTTTCAAGATTATGTATGCTTTACACCCATTGGTTACATGTATTTTCTAATTCTCTTTAGCACTCTCCAAAATTGTTACATAGTATCTCTTTTTACAAACACATATGTATTTCCTGTGTTCCTTAGCCCCATCTAGTGGCCCCAGTGTGGTATTTTACTACTGCCCATACTAAAAGAACATTCATTTGGAAGCGAGAATTGCTTAAAATGTTTCTAACTTTTGCTCAATATACACAGATTGAATGTACAGGCAGATTTGCTGGATGAATGGCTATGTGAATTTTTAATAAATAGAGCCCTGAGTAACCCAAATCTATGTGTTCCAATTCTCACTACATATACAGAGAAACCCCAATAGATCACATGGCCACATCAATGAGGATGGAGGTGGACCGGAGTCAGATAACTGAGAGGATACTAAACCTCACCCTGGAGATCATCTACCTGCTGACCGGAGAGGTGAGGAGGATTCTGGGAGGTCACATGACATCGCTCTTATCTCTATGAATAAAACACAGACCTGACCGGAGAGGTGAGGAGGATTCTGGGGGGTCACATGACATCACTCTTATCTCTATTAATAAAACGCAGACCTGACCGGAGAGGTGAGGAGGATTCTGGGAGGTCACATGACATCACTTATCTCTATTAATAAAACACAGACCTGACCGGAGAGGTGAGGAGGATTCTGGGAGGTCACATGACATCACTTATCTCTATTAATAAAACACAGACCTGACTGGAGAGGTGAGGAGGATTCTGGGATTCTAACATGATATTCCTATTGGTTCCTCAATACAGAGATTTCCTCTTCCGAAGTCAGGTGATCATATGACCATCACAGTGCCTCCATGTGACTCCCTAAACCCTGAGAGACACAACATGCAGAAGATTCTAGAAGTCACCAGAGAGATCACTGAGCTGCTGACAGGAGAGGTGAGCGGTGCCGGGAATTCTGGGACATTCTCCAGTAACAGACAAGGGATGTGTCTGGATGGTGACTGTATCATTGTGTGTGTCAGGTTCCTATAAGGTGTCAGGGTGTCACTGTCTATTTCTCCATGGAGGAGTGGGAGTATTTAGAAGGACACAAGGATCTCTACAAGGACGTCATGATGGACAATCAGCCGCCCCTCACATCACCGGGTAAGAGGAGACTTTATTGTAAAGGAGAGAGCAGTACGGAGGATCCACCTAGATCCCCCATCATCTGATAAACACATAGAAACAATGGATTCAGTCAGTGTGTGTGTTTCCTACAGATGGATCCAGTCATGGGAACCCACCAGAGAGATGTCCCCGTCCTCTGTATTCCCAGGATTCCACACAGGAAGGTCACACCATCCCTCACCATCATCAGGTAGATGAGGAACAATCACTGATAGTATCATTAGGATCTGTACATTATCTGCATTGTTACCATTGATGGCATTATTTTATTCTGTACTTAGAGTGGAAACCTGAGTTATTTTAAAGTTGAGGTTAAAGAAGGGATAAAAGAGAAGGATGGGATGCTGGATGAGTCAACGTTGATTAAAGGACACAAGGATCTGTACCAGGACACCATGGTGGAATCATCCAGCTATAGAAACCCACCAGAGAGATGTCCCCATCCTCTGTATTCCCAGGATTCCACACAGGAAGGTCACACCATCCCTCACCATCATCAGGTAGATGATGACAATTATTGGTAGTTGTGATTTATACACAGCATGTTTGTTGCAATGAATGTTTTATTATATATTCAGAGTGGAATCCTCGGGGATGATAATATTGTTGCTAAAGAAGAGTATAAAGAGGAGGATGAGGAGTATGGAGTGATGGAGGAGTTTTTAGAAGGACACAAGGATATGATGGAGCCACCTAATACCAGGAACCCACCAGAGAGATGTCCCCGTCCTCTGTATTCCCGGGATTCCACACAGGAAGATCACACCATCCCTCACCATTACAAGGTTGGTGGGACAGAGTCTAGAACATGGACTAGTGGAGACGATGTGTGGGATTTTTTTTGTATGTGACACAATATGTGAATATGTCACACAGCTGTTTTGAATGTTGACCATATGGGTATATCACTACCTACAGGAGTAGGCATTTCCTGCAAGCATAAATCCCCCTCTCTGCCATAGGTAATCCAGTCTTTCTGCCTAGTATTCAGGAGTGAGGACCTGGTTCCCTGTTGGGACCTCTGGTTCCATAGCCTTTTCATTTTTGTCATTTTCCTGTTGAGATCTTCAATCAACAGCCGTGCTGGGCAATAGGCTGTCTCAGTGGGGTTACTGCGGGGTCTCAGTCGGCAGGCCCCCTTTGCGGGGTCTCAGTCGGCAGGCCCCCTTTTGCGCGGGGTCTCAGTCGGCAGGCCCCCTGTGCGGGGTCTCAGTTCGTGGCAGGTAGGCTGGCTCCCATCTTGTTTACCATGTGGCATGTCACCTTGGTTGGTTCGTGGATCCTCACATTCTGCAGTATGGGGCCACATACTGTGTCTGTGAGGCCACATAATGGGATTTCTTTCCTTCTACCAGATTAGTTTCAGCGCTTCAAGGCCCCTGTGGTTAGGGACAAGCGCTCCTGGACCCACAAGATCACCATGCCTGAGGATGCATTCAGCTCAGCATGTAACTTTGCTCCACCTGTCTCTAGGGCAGGCAGTCGCACTTGCTGGTTTTTGGGCCCATGTACATTCCCTGTTCGCACCACGAAGGTCCATGAACTGCTTGGGTCCAGCTGCAAAAAAGCATTTCACCCCCTTCCGCTGTGGTAATTCTTTGCCTCCAGTTTCCATTTTCCACTAGTGCGCCTTGTGCATGATCTCCCTCTTCAGGGATTTTGTTCCTGTTCCCGAGCTGGCTCGGTTCTGAGGTTTTTCTCCAATCCGTTCACTGTCCTGACAGAGACAGGGTTTGCCTGGTCAGGGATCTGTAGACCTTCTATTGTTTCCTGCCTGTTCGGCGGGTTGAGCTGGAATCTCTTCGCTTGGCTTTTTTCTAGCAGCTATAGCCATCTAGATCACAGGTGTCAAACTGGCGGCCCTCCAGCTGATGCCAAACTATAAGTCCCATGAGGCATTGCAAGATTGACCGTTACACGCATGACTGCCAAAGGCATGATGGGACTTGTAGTTTTGCAACAGCTGGAGGGCCACCAGTTTGACACCCCTGATCTAGGTTGTATACCTGCACATTTCCATGTGTAAGGTGTCTAGTAATTGTGGGGCTGGCTTCATCACACCGGGTGTTCTCTAAGGGACTGGCTTCAGTCCTGGCATTGCTGCGACAATGAGAGATTGCTGTGGCTGGTTACTTGGCTGTTCTGCTTCTGCCAGCGGACTCCCAGACCACACTGACAGGCAACGTGGTGACGCAAAGCACTCCCTGTAGAGCTTCATATGGCTCCACAACCTCAAGATGTTTGCTCTGTCTAGGAGACCGGGGTGTAGTACCCTCCTAGTTAGCTAGGGGGAGCTAGATTCCAATTGTTAGGGCTGAGTAGCAGCCTGGGTGTGATAGCTAGCAAGGGGTCAAATTGTGGTAAGAGCTGAGAAACTCTGCAGACCATCCCTCTGGAATTTCCCCCTGTTCTAGAACTATGAAGAAAGATCTAGAAGCAGTGAGTGGATCTGAGGAGTGGCTGGCCTGTACACTTGGAGGATCCTGGCAAATCCCCAGTAGGAGGCTTGGCAAGGGGCCAGGACAGCCTTAAAGAGTAACCAAGCCTGCTGCTCAGCAGCAGGAGAGTATGGGTGGAAGAGAAAGATGTGAGGTTGAGGAGCAGGAGCCTGGGAGGAGGCCCAGATGGAGAGAGGCTCACCTACAGGCTGAGGACCTTGCAGAGAGGAAAGTTCCGAACTTCACTGGCCCCCCGTGAGAGAGGACCACCTGTGTGGTAGGGAAGAAGCAAGCCCAGCTAAAAGGCCTGGTAGCAGTCACTGACCCATCAGCAACACAAGGGGACTAAGTGAGTAAGCTTGCACCCCCTGGGCCAGAGAGGGGAAGAAAGCACTCTGGTGGGAAATATATAGGCTGGTCAAATGTGTTAACCCCTTGGCACCGACGCCTCCTGGGGCGGGACAGGGTTTTAGGGTCATGTGACCGCCGTGATTCGCTGTCACAGCGGTCACAGGATCGGGAAAGGTCCCAATCGAAAGAGATCGGGACCTTTCCGTGAGTACCGAACGTGTGTGCTGGGAACGCGCAGGGCGCGCGCTCTCAGCACATATGTTTTTTTTAATAGAACGCAAATGTGCGGCCGCTTGGCGTCTAGGCCCAGACGTGGGAGGCCGCACATTTGCGTTCGGCCGGTGCCAAGAGGTTAATCATACAAGGTGCTTATTCCAAAATTGCAGAGCCGTAAAAAACATACAGAGAAGAAAAAGGGACTTTTTAAGCACCAAAACTACAAAAAGAAAAGAAAAAAAGGATCTGATATAAAAAATACAAAACGTATTGAACATAGTACATCAATAAAAAAACAGACGCAATACACAAAACAGAATTTTGATGTGGATGGCAATGATTAGGCTATACAGTCACGTCCATAAATATTGGGACATCGACACAATTCTAACATTTTTGGCTCTATACACCACCACAATGGATTTGAAATGAAACGAACAAGATGTGCTTTAACTGCAGACTATCAGCTTTAATTTGAGGGTATTTACATCCAAATCAGGTGAACGGTGTAGGAATTACAACAGTTTTGCATATGTGCCTCCCACTTGTTAAGGGACCAAAAGTAATGGGACAATTGGCTTCTCAGCTGTTCCATGGCCAGTTGTGTGTTATTCCCTCATTATTCCAATTACAATGAGCAGATAAAAGGTCCAGAGTTCATTTCAAGTGTGCTATTTGCATTTGGAATCTGTTGCTGTCAACTCTCAAGATGAGATACAAAGAGCTGTCACTATCAGTGAAGCAAGCCATCATTAGGCTGAAAAAAAACAAAACAAACCCATCAGAGAGATAGCAAAAACATTAGGCATGGCCAAAACAACTGTTTGGAACATTCTTAAAAAGAAGGAATGCACCGGAGAGCTCAGCAACACCAAAAGACCCGGAAGACCACGGAAAACAACTGTGGGGGATGACCGAAGAATTCTTTCCCTGGTGAAGAAAACACCCTTCACAACAGTTGGCCAGATCAAGAACACTCCCCAGGAGGTAGGTGTATGTGTGTCAAAGTCACCAATCAAGAGAAGACTTCACCAGAGTGAATACAGAGGGTTCACCACAAGATGGAAACCATTGGTGAGCCTCAAAAACAGGAAGGCCAGATTAGAGTTTGCCAAACGACATGTAAAAAAGCCTTCACAGTTCTGGAACAACATCCTATGGACAGATGAGACCAACATCAACTTGTACCAGAGTGATGGGAAGAGAAGAGTATGGAGAAGGAAAGGAACTGCTCATGATCCTAAGCATACCACCTCATCAGTGAAGCATGGTGGTGGTAGTGTCATGGCGTGGGGGCATGTATGGCTGCCAATGGAACTGCTTCTCTTGTATTTATTGATGATGTGACTGCTGACAAAAGCAGCCGGATGAATTGTGAAGTGTTTCGGGAATATTATCTGCTCATATTCAGCCAAATGCTTCACAACTCATTGGACGCTTCACAGTGCAGATGGACAATGACCCAAAGCAGACTGCAAAACCAACCAAAGAGTTTAAGGGAAAGAAGTGGATTGTTATGCAATGCCAAGTCAATCACCTGACCTGAATCCGATTGAGCATTTCACTTGCTGAAGACAAAACTGAAGGGAAAATGCCCCAAGAACAAGCAGGAACTGAAGACAGTTGCAGTAGAGGCCTGGCAGAGCATCACTAGGGATGAAACCCAGCGTCTGGTGATGTCTATGTGTTCCACACTTCAAGCTGTAATTGACTGCAAAGGATTTGTAACCAAGTATTAAAAAGTGAAAGTTTGATTTATGATTATTATTCTGTCCCATTACTTTTGGTCCCTTAACAAGTGGGAGGCACATATGCAAACTGTTGTAATTCCTACACCGTTCACCTGATTTGGATGTAAATACCCTCAAATTAAAGTGGACAGTCTGCAGTTAAAGCACATCTTGTTCGTTTCATTTCAAATCCATTGTGGTGGTGTATAGAGCCAAAAATGTTAGAATTGTGTCCATGTCCCAATATTTATGGACCTGACTGTATATCACCAAAGAGGAAAAACTCCAAACGCGCGTTTCAATGCATTGAATTTATAATTTGAATCATCTTCAGGGGGAAAAGGCGAGATGCTGTAAACAGTATTATCGCCATTCATAAAAACAGAAATTCCAAGGATCCTTGCTGGTAAATTCCAGGCATTGTCTATGCAAACAGACCCCCTCAGTGGTCCAACTGAATGAATGAATGATAAAATTGTCTAATGGAGGTCAATAGGGAATTGAAAATAGTAACACACCCCTCTATCAAGCACTTAGATCAACCCAGACATCTGGACTCGATCACTGATGAGCTTCCCTTGTATGAGGTATCAAAGTGTGGAACCAACAAAGTGTTTCCATAAATGGTCTCCCACTGGAGACTCTCCCACGGGAGCTGTAGCTGTGGCGGTTCTCTGGGATGTTTCCATCTTGGTATAAGATAGACCATTTGTGGAAACATTTTGTTGGCTGAAGAAGATTCAAATTATAAATTCAATGAATTCAATCAGGGATTCCTCCAGATAGCTGGATAGAGGAATATCTAGGGTCTAGGTTGATACAACAGGAGATGCTGGCTAGCTCTCCACAAAGAAGATTTGTACATAGTTCAGGAAGTTGTCCTCACCTTTTCATTTCCTTTGGGCATCCCGTACACCCCTTACCCCATTCAATTTCTAAATCCCCAAAAAAACTTCAAAGCAAACTCAAGAACTGGTCACTGACTCTTGAATGCAAGTGGATTGGAAATGCGTATTGTCTGGCTGTGCAGGACTATAGGGGGGACCCAAACGTCAGCAACTCCTAAGGGTGTAGTGCTACAGGAATATATGGTCCTGATTTCGACTCTGAGCAGGCCAATGGATTCCTTGGAAAACAAGCTCCAGCAGCTTCATACTTCGATCCTCCTAGTTTCGCCCCGTGAGTGGCTCTCCCAGCGGTCTTGCTGGTGAACTCTGGGTCCTATGGTGTCCACCTCTCAGGCCAGTTCTTGTGTGCACAGTTCTGTATGTTCACTCCGCGGGGGAGAAATCTTATCCATATGAGACGAGTCTACAGGCTCCCTGGACAACCAGTTTCAGATGGAATGAACGATGAGGGCCTTCTCCCTTTGGTGCCTCCAGTCCCCTGTCCTGCGAGTTGGGACCTGTATTGTCTTTTTCTGTCTTCCTCCACTCAGGCTAATCCCGCGCCTGCTGTGCCAAGTTTGCAGGATAGTGAGCAAAAGAATTCCAGTCTTCTGGTGGCTCCAGACTGGTCTGTGGTACGCCAACACGGTGCAGCTGGTCTTGGATGTTACCGGGTGTTTGCCATTTTGGGAGGACCGTCTGCCCCAGGGTCTTGTCTACCATCCTGGATTACTATATCTGGTTAGTGGACACGACTATTGGGAGCCAGCTTTGGCAGACAGGGAGTTTTCCAATTTTGGTGTTCTACAATGTTGAGCCTCACCTGCCTGCTCTTCAGAAGCTGTCGTCGCATCTGGTAGGCTTAGATTGCTGGGTGCAAGGCTCTGGGTGACATCCATATTCCTTCACGGTGGCTCGGGTGTTGGCCTGTCTTCCACTACTTGCCTTGAGTATCTTTTATGGGTCAGGTTTATGCCCTCACTGTCCTTTTTTGTTTTTTTTTTTTTTTTTTTGTTCAGCACCTCTTGGCCACGCACTTCCTGTTTTGCACTTTTATTTTAGGGGTTCATCGTTTGGTGCCCCCTGCACTCCCTGTTACCTCTATGAGCTTTGAATTTGGTTCTTTCGGTTCTCCAGAAGTATTTAGGTTTTCCCCTCGTAACTTTCTCCAAATGTTGCCTTTTTGATCGCCATTGCTTCTGAGTGGTGGGTGGTCTTGTTAGTCCCCCTTTTTTTGGGTCTACACAAGGATGAGGTGGTTCTTCGTCTGTGCCTCTCCTTTCTACTGAAGGTGGTGTCCTTTTGTCCACAGCTGTCGCATCCTGTGGAGGTTGCATTGCCCACCTTAGATGTGGTCTGGGTGGTTCATGTGTACCTGTCTACTGCGGCTTCCTATCGGTGGTCAGATTCCTTTTCAGTTCACGGACGACCCAAGGAAAGGCCTTGTGGCCTCTTCTGCCGCGTCCCCCCACTGAACCTGGCAGACACGTGTCCAGGTGTGCTCTATTATGGGATGGGCTCCTCCCTTTCCCATTACGCTCCACTAAAGCAAAAGTGCTTATGCAGGCCATAGATGGGTCGAAAATCGGCCGATTTTCGGATCGTTAGTGGGCTAATTGTTCGTCTGTTTTTCGGCAGATTTTTTTTATTGGTAAAGTTGGAAAAAAATCGTCCGATTTTGCCGATCGGCCGATTTTCACGGCAATGATGGGCAAATCGGCCGATCTTTTTACCGATAAAAAAATCTGCGCATGAGCAGTGACCTGCAAGAGGAAGACAAAAAGAAGAAGAGGATGAAGAAGAAGAGGATGAAGAAGAAGAGAAGAAGAAAAAGAAGAGGATGAAGAAGAAGAAGAGGATGAAGAAGAAAGAAGAAGGAAGAGGATGAAGAAGAGGAAGAGGATGAAGAAGAGGAAGAGAAGAAGAAGAAGAGGATGAAAGAAGAGGATGAAGAAGAAGAAGAAGAGGAGGAAGAAGAAGAGGATGATAAGAAGAAGAAGAAGATGAAGAAGAAGAAGAGGATGAAGAAAGAGGAGAAGAAGAAGAAGAAGATGAAGAAGAAGAGGATGAAGAAGAAGAAGAGGAGAAGAAGAAGAAGAATGAAGAAGCTGAAGAAGAAGAAGAGGATGAAGAAGATGAGGAGAAGAAGAAGAGGATGAAGAAGAAGAAGAGGAGAAGAAGAAGAGGATGAAGAAGAAGAATGAGAGATGATGAGAAGAGAGAAGAAGAGGATGAAGAAGAAGAAGAGGATGAAGAAGCTGAAGAAGAGGATGAAGAAGATGAGAAGAAGAAGAAGAAGAGAAGAGAAGAGGATGAAGAAGAGAGAAGAGAGGATGAAGAAGAAGAGGATGAAGAAGAAGAGGATGAAGAAGAAGAGATGAAGAAGAAGAGGATGAAGAAGAGGTTGCGAGGATGAAGAAGAAGAGAAGAGGAAGAGGAAGAAGAGGAAGAAGAAGAGGATGAAGAAGAAGAGGATGATGAAGAAGAGAATGAAGAAGAGGATGAAGAAGCTGAAGAAGAGGATGAAGAAGCTGAAGAAATGAGGATGAAGAAGAAGAGAGGATGAAGATGAAGAGGATGAAGATGAAGAGGATGAAGATGAGAAGAAGAAGAAGAGGATGAAGAAGAGGAAGAATGAAGAAGAAGAGGATGAAGAAGAAGAAGAGAAAGATGAAGAAGAAGTAAGAAGAAGAGAAGAGGATGAAGAAGAAGAAGAAGCAGAAGAGGATGAAGAAGAAGAGGATGAAGAAGAGGAAGATGAAGAAGAGGAATTCCAGTCCGGCAAAAAATGTCCCTGCAGAGAGCTCCGCTATTTCTTTGACAGTTCCTTGACATTTATAGCGGTTGCAACAATGTATCTATTTGTTTCCGAATAAAAACATCTGTATCCTAAATGGATACAAATAGATACATTGTTGCAACCGCTATAAATGTCAAGGAACTGTCAAAGAAATAGCGGAGCTCTCTGCAGGGACACTTTTTGCCGGCTGTAGACGGGATGAAAATCGGCTGATTTTTTTTACCGTTGCTGGTAACGTCGGCCGCTTGAACGACCGATTTTTCGTTTTTTTAAAGAAAAATCGGCCGATTTTCGACCCATCTATGGCCTGCATTACTGTGCTTTTAGCATCTGTGTCTTTGGTTTCCGCTGCAGCTACCTGTTTGTCTGTGCACACTTTTGCAAAATTTAACAGTTTGTTTCTTCGGCTGCTTGTTTTGAATGCAAGGCCTTGCCGGCTGCTGTTTTATGGTTCTTTGCTCACCTTGTTAGGGGTTGCTGGGGGCTGGCATGTTTGCCTGTTTTCTCTGGTTGCTTTTTGTTTTGTCCACCCTTCATTAGGGCACTGCTTTTGGACATCCCTATGGTCAAGATTCAGAAGAGCCGTGTCCATCAATGAACGTAGGAAAAAATGGGATTGTTTGTTACTCACTGTAGAATCCCCTTCTCTGAGTTCATTGACGAACACAGCACCCACCCTTCTGTTGGAGTTAATGCTTCCCCAGCAGGGAACCAGGTCCTCCCTCCTGAATACTAGGAAGAAAGACTGGATTGCCTATGGCAGAGAGAGGGTTTTATGCCAGAAGGGACTACCCATAGGCAGCTGAGTTCTTTTCTACCTAGTGTCCTACTCCTGTAGGTAGCGATATGACCCTATGGTCAAGATTCAGAAGAGCTCTGTCCGTCAATGAACTCCGGGAAAGGGATTTTATGGTAACAACAAATCCTGTTTTTTGAGTTGATATTTTCCATCTTTCTCTTGGTTTAGGGTGAAGATCTGATAAATATAAAAGTTGAGGTTAAAGCAGAAGAGGAGGATGAGGATGGGGTGATGGAGAAGTCAGAGTTTCTAAAAGGACACAAAGATCTGTACCAGGACACCATGGTGGAGCCATCCAGCTACAGGAACCCACCAGAAAGATGTCCCCGTCCTCTGTATTCCTGGGATTCCACACAGGAAGATCACACCATTCCTCACAGTTACAAGGTTGGTGGGATGGAGTATGTGGAACATGGATTCAAGAAGATGTCTGGATTTTCTTTTTAATGTGATGTCACAATATTAATGCATATAGTTTACAAATGTTATTTTCTCTCTCTCTTGGTTTAGGGTGAAGATCTGATCGATATAAAAGTTGAGGTTAAATCAGAAGAAGAGGAGGCGTATGTGAGGGATGATCAGCAGTCTATGGAGGAGGATGGAATAACGGGGACATTTATAGAGGAGGACACTCCTACAGAGATCAGCACAGGTGGGTCATGAACACTAAATCCATTCCTCCGCCCATACTGCTCACTGATTGGTCCAGAGTAGGGCGGGGACTGGGTGATATCAAACATAAAAATTGCTGCGCTGCCTCTCCCAAAAACTACTTTAAATAATTAAATAAACAAATGAACTCCCTACTAGACAAACAGTCCCCACAAATGTGTATGTGCTGTAATGCCCCGTGGGCTGGCAATTATATCCCTCCTCCCCAGTGACTAAATCCCAAATAAACCAATAAGTAAATACAAGGTGCTTAAAATGACAATAGTGCTAAATATAGCACATATACAATGCCATAAACTGTGTATACAGTGAAATTGTATATTTTATTAAAAAAAAAAAAAAAAAAAAAAAAAAAAAAAATATATATATATATATATATATATATATATATAAATAAATTGAAAGTTCCAAAAGAAATCCGCATCTGGTGTGAACATTAAGTGATACAGTAGTAAATCTTATCCATAGCAATTCTCTGTGTGTTGTGCTCCAATCAGTGCTCCCCCTCCAGAGCCCCACTCACAGATAAGTGACCACCTGGAATGGTAAGTCAAATATCGCATGAGATGTTCCTGCAGGAAAGTTGGCCGTCTGTGTGGTCTTGACACCTCTATACGCTGATGAAAGGCTCCATAGTGGAAACACCTGTAGATCAATCGTTTGCCACAAAACTCCTCCAGAACCTCCACAGTACTCCTCCACCACCGTAAAAACATCAAATGGAAACCTCCATAGCGTAACACCGTATTTATTAGGTAAAAAAACATTTAAAATTGCAAAAATGTGTATGGCCCTTTAAATCCCAGAAAAAAAGCAATTCCTTCTCAGAGGACAAGTGTAGGGCTATCAAGCCCCGCTCTACATGTTTCGGCGTATGATGTCATCAGGAGCGTGTGATATCAGCCTGTAATCCCCTGGTCACTTTCCTGAGCTGTGTTCCCCGTCCTGTATTCCTGGATTTCTCTCGGATAATCTTCCTTCTCTGTGCTGCAGACAATTTATGTATCTAGACTGGATTTATGGAGATTCTGGGGTTCAGCCGGCAGCAAAATGTTGATTTTTCACCATAAGTGTTACTAGACCTAGGGATTTTTTGTCCCATGCCCGGGTCTAGTAAGATCTCTGACAGAACAATTCTCCCAGGGTTCCTTGCTCTGTTGTCTGCTGGCTGTGCCGGGTGGAGGGATATGTCTGTATAGTCTCAGCCCCAAGTCACTGAGTGCAGTCTCAGGAGATGGGAGGCAGCGGGGTGGGACCTCTGCAACTTGTCTCAGTTAATCATTATACTACCGCTGATTACAGAATACCAATATTGTGAGTTCTGACCCTTCCACTTTATATTGTACATTATATAATTCTTACTGTTGTATTTTAAACTCTATGTTCTACATTATATACTCCTGACCCCTGCACTATATACTCTATGTTGTACATTATATACTCCTGACCCCTGCACTATATACTCTATGTTGTACATTATATACTCCTGACCCCTGCACTATATACTCTATGCTGTCCATTATATACTCCTGACCCCTGCACTATATACTCTATGCTGTCCATTATATACTCCTGACCCCTGCACTATATACTCTATGTTGTACATTACATACTCCTGACCCCTGCACTATATACTCTATGTTGTACATTACATACTCCTGACCCCTGCACTATATACTCTATGTTGTACATTACATACTCCTGACCCCTGCACTATATACTCTATGTTGTACATTACATACTCCTGACCCCTGCACTATATACTATGTTGTACATTACTACTCCTGACCCCTGCACTATATACTCTATTACATTACTACTCCTGACCCCTGCACTATATACTCTATGTTGTACATTACATACTCCTGACCCCTGCACTATATACTCTATGTTGTACATTACATACTCCTGACCCCTGCACTATATACTCTATGTTGTACATTACATACTCCTGACCCCTGCACTATATACTCTATGTTGTACATTTACATACTCCTGACCCCTGCACTATATACTCTATGTTGTACATTACATACTCCTGACCCCTGCACTATATACTCTATGTTGTACATTACATACTCCTCTGACCCTGACCCCTGCACTATATACTCTATGTTGTACATTACATACTCCTGACACCCCTGCACTATATACTCTATGCTGTACATTATATACTCCTGACCCCTGCACTATATACTCTATGCATTATATACTCCTGACCCCTGCACTATATACTCTATGTTGTACATTACATACTCCTGACCCCTGCACTATATACTCTATGTTGTACATTATACTATATACTCTATGTTGTACATTACATACTCCTGACACCTGCACTATATACTCTATTGTATACATTACATACTCCTGACACCTGCACTATATACTCTATGCTCCTTATATACTCCTGACCCCTGCACTATATACTCTATGTTGTACATTACATTCCTGACATGCACTATATACCTATGACCCTCCTGCCCTACTATATACTCTATGTTGTACATTCCATAGTCCTGACTTCTGCTCTCCACCCTCCCCCCCACTGCTATATATACACACATAATATGGATTCTATTTTGTTCCCCCCATTTCCTCCCAGCTGGACATTTTATATCGGATGATGTGATTGGAGCACAGACTTTTACATGGTGATAATAATGTGATAACATCCTCCAACTTTGGACCCTTAAACAGAAAGTGATAATGAGGGAGGAGTCAATACCCCAATGATGGTGGTCTTCAGGATCAGTCCAGTCTTCATCTTGGTTGTTCTCCCCCCATCCTCACTCTCTGACCTCTGGTGGGGCTCAGCCCCGCTGTTCTTCATGACTAAATCATGGACTAAATAAGGAAGTGCAGTACTTCTTGTGTTGGGAAGATGGCGATGAGTGATAGATGGGGTGGGGACCCTCGTCCTATAATCCCCTCATCACTGTCCCTCCCTCCTATAAAAGACAGTTCTGGTTGTTTCCTCACTCTCTGACTAAGGTCCATGAATAAAGAAATGACCTGGTAGGAGATCAGAGGAGCCATTTCCTAGTTCCCTTGAGAGGGTGGAATTGTAAGCTCCTCAGAGACCAAGCTGCCTGATGTGGGCGGAGTCCTGGTTTGGGGGACCAATCAGCTCCTGTCTAGTAATCCTCTTTGTCTTTGTATTTTAGTCCATGGCCGGGAGATGAGGAAAACCTCCGAGGATTGTCTCACTTTGTCTCCACTGGAAAGTAGAAGATGAGGACATCACACACAGTATAGTCCAGGAGAAAACCCGGCTCCCTCCAATGTCCATCCGGCACCGCCCAGTGTAGATGGACCATCGGATTCCTCGTATCCTGAGGAACCACAGACTGTGCGGGACCGGGCTGGTCTTCCAAAAGAGAAGAGGTTCTCCTGTACTGAGTGCGGGAAGGGTTTCCTTTTTAAATACCATCTTAATGTGCATAAAAGATCTCACACAGGCGAGAAGCCGTATCCCTGCCCTGAGTGCGGGAAATGTTTTTCAAAGAAGTCAAATCTTTACATGCATCAGAGATTTCACACAGGAGAGAAGCTGCACACTGCATTCTTGTCCTGAGTGCGAGAGATGTTTTTGTAAATATATCACATCTCATCAGACATCAACTGTCTCACACGGGTGAGAAACCATATTCCTGTCCTGAGTGCGGGAAATGTTTTGTACGAAAATCACAACTTGTCACACATCAAACATCCCACACGGGGGAGAAGCCATTTTTTCTGTCCTGAGTGTGGGAAATGTTTTTCACAGAAGTCATACCTTTACAAACATCAGAGATTGCACACGGGGGAAAAGCCATATTCCTGTCCTGAGTGCGGAAGATGTTTTTCACAGAACTCCAGTCTTAACAGACATCAGAGGTCTCACACGGGGACTGAGGTGTATCAGTGCCTTGAGTGCGGGAAATGTCTTCTAGATGAATGTTGCTGGACATCCCAGCTCTCATGTGGGGAAGAAGCACACCCTGATATACACCCAAAACACTCAATATAATTTTGGTCACATGGCACCTCAGATCTTCATCATGGAAAAAAAACAGTTCATAAGGAGATCAGAGGTCACCAAAGACGTGGATGAAGTGTTGCAGACTTTAAAGATTTCACAACAGGGACAAGCCACTTTCTGGTTCTGATTGCAGGAAATGTTTTGTAAAAAAAACCCACCACAAATTGTCTCACACGGGATAAGCCATTTTCCTGTCCTGAGTAAAGGAAATGTTTTTACAGGCATAAAAGATTGCACATGGATGAGAAGTCTTATTCTTGTTCTGAGTGCGGGAAATGTTTTTCAATAAAAGGTCAATTTTTACACATATCAGAGATTGTACACGGGAGAGAAATCATTTTCCTGTCCTGTCCTGAGTGAGGAAATTGTTAGTCACTGAAGTCCTGTCCTCCTGTACATCAGGGGTCCCACCGGGGGAGAAGCCACTTTCCTGTCCTGAGTGAGGGAATCGTTAGTCACTGAAGTCCTGTCTTCCTGTACATCAGCTTAGGGTCCCACCAGTGGTGTATTTACCAAAAGGCAAACAAGGCATTTGCCTAGGGCGGCATTTTTCAGGGGGGCAGTACTGCCCCCCGTAAGAAGACATGAAAGAAGGGACACACGAGCCATGGGGACCTGGTGGGATCTGAGAGAGGTTGTGGGCTGGTTGGCGGTGTATGTAGAGCCCGACGGTCATTCCAGGGGATGTGGCCAGTATGTGGAGGGCGGTGATAGTGGAAGGCTTTTTTTGAGTGTGTGTGGGGGGGGGGGGGGGGTGTGTTGGTTGGTGTCAGGCTCTCTCCATGAGGGGAGTGGGGGGGAAAACAATTTTTGTGTTGCCTAGGGCAGCACAAAACCTAAAATACACCACTGGGTCCCACACGGGGGAGAAGCCACTTTCCTATCTTGAGTGAGGGAATTGTTAGTCACTGAAGTCCTGTCTTCCTGTACATCAGGGGTCCCACACGGAGGAGAAGCCACTTTCCTATCTTGAGTGAGGGAATTGTTAGTCACTGAAGTCCTGTCTTCCTGTACATCAGGGGTCCCACACACGGAGGAGAAGCCACTTTCCTATCTTGAGTGAGGGAATTGTTAGTCACTGAAGTCCTGTCTTTCTGTACATCAGGGGTCCCACACGGGGGAGAAGCCACTTTCCTATCTTGAGTGAGGGAATTGTTAGTCACTGAAGTCCTGTCTTCCTGTACATCAGGGGTCCCACACGGGGGGAAGAAGCCACTTTCCTATCCTGAGTTCACTCACTAAAGTCCCATCTTTACAGACATCTTAGATTGGACAATAAACTTTCCTGGTCTGAGTGAGGGAAGTCCTGTCTTTCTTGTACATCAGGGGTCCCACACAACCCTGGATGTGTATTAGTGCCTTGAGTGCGGGAAATGTCTTCTAGATGAATGTTGCTGGACATCCCAGCTCTCGTGGGAAGAAGCCCCTCCCCTAATATACACCTCAGATATACTCCATGGCTGATCTTCATCATGGAAGAGTCCGTTCATAAGGACCTATTTACTGTATATCACTCCCATTAACACCTTCTCACACAGTCTCCATGAACCCTTTCCTAGCTTTTAACTCTCTACTTTGCTCTTCATTGCCTCCACCTATTAGTTCTTTCACTGCCTAGGAGATTGCAAATCACTTCAAAAATAGGATTGGTACAATTTGTGACGAGATATCTGCTGTACAGATATCCTTCTCCATGTTACATTCCATTTCCACACTCAGTGCTTCCCTTGTTTAATACTACGACTATAGAGGACGTCACTAAACTTTGTTTTCTAATGGCCATCTAACCACATGCCCTCTGGACTCCATTCCCCCGCAAATATGGTCACCTTCTTGCTCTATCTTTACACTTTTTAACTCACATCTTCAATCTCTCCCTCTCTACTGGTATCTTCCCTATCCCCATAAAGCATGCAGTGGTCGCCCCCCTCCCACTTCTAAAAGCCCTTGCTGGACCTCACAACCTAAGACCTCCTCCTTGCTCCCTTTTACCTCCAACTCCTTGAACATCTGGTCTACAACCACCAGGAGCTTTCACCTCAATGAGAATAACTCTCATGATCCCCTTTGGTGTGGATTTCGCCCGCAACACTCCACAGAAACTGCTCTTCTAAAACTCACAAATGGCTAAAACCAAAGGACACTTCTGTATTCCTACTCTTGGAACTGCCTTTGATAAAGTTGACCATCCCCTCCTCCTCAAAAAAAAAAAACAACTATTCCCTTGGTCTCTATGACTGTACTTTTGTTGATTCTCATCTTGCCTATCTCACCACACCTTCAGTGTCACTTACAACTCTACCTCCTCCTCTTCTATTCCTTTGAGGCCCACCCAAGCTTCTGTCCTTAGAATTCTATTCTCCATCCACACCTCCTCCCTGGGTCAGCTGGTACAATTTTTATGCTGAAGACACCTACAGTTGCAAGAAAAAGTATGTGAACCCCTTGGGATTACGTGGAGTTTTGCATGAATTGGGCATAAAATGTGCTCTGAACGTCATCTAAGTCACAACAATAGAAGAACACAGTCTGCTGAACATAATACTACACAAACATTAGATGTTGCCATGGTTTAATTGCACATAACATGTAAACATTCACAGTGCAGGGAGGAAAAAGTATGTGAGGCCCTAGCTTAATGACTTCTCCCAGAGCTAATTGGAGCCAGGAGTGAGCCAACCTTGACTCCAATCAGTGTGATGATATTGGATGTGTCCCTTAAAAAACACACACCTGTTTTGGGTTTACTGGTTTCAAGAAGCACTGTCTGATGTGAACCATGCCTCGCAGAAAAGAGCTCTCAGAAGACCTACGATCAAGAATTGTTGACTTGCATGAAGCTGGAAAGGGTTACAAAAGTATCTCCAAAAGCCTTGATGTTCATGTGTCCACGGTAAGACAGACTGTCTACAAATGGAGAAAGTTTAGCACTGTTGCTACTCTCCCTAGGCGTGGTCGTCCTGTAAAAATGACTGCAAGAGCACAGCGCAGAATGCTGCATGAGGTAAAGAAGAATCCCAGAGTGTCAGCTAAAGACCTACAGAAATCTCTGGCACATGCTAACATTTTTGTTGACACATCTACAATAAGGAAAACATTAAACAAGAATGGAGTACATGGGAGGACACCACGGAGGAAGCCATTGCTGTCTAAAAAGAATATTGCAGCACGTTTGAAGTTTGCAAAAGAGCACCTGGATGTTCCACAGCACTACTGGCAAAATATACTGTGGACAGATGAAACCAAGATTGAGTTGTTTGGGAAAAACACACAACACTATGTGTGGAGAAAAAAAGGCACAGCACACTGACATCAAAACCTCATCCCCACTGTAAAACATGGCGGAGGGAGCATCATGGTTTGGGGCTGCTTTGCTGCCTCAGGGCCTGGACGGATTGTTGTCATTGATGGGAAAATGAATTCCAGAGTTTATCAAGACATTTTGCAGGAAAACGTACGACCATCTGTCCGCCAACTGAAGCTCCGCAGAGGATGGGTGATGCAACAGGACAATGACCCAAAGCATACAAGTAATTCAACAAAACAATTACTGCAACAGCACAGAATACGCCTTCTGGAGTGGCCCAGTCAGAGTCCTGACCTCAACCTGATTGAAATGCTGTGGCATGACCTTAAGAGAGCGATTCACACCAGACATCCCAAGAATATTGCTAAACTGAAACAGTTTTGTGAAGAGGAGTGGTCCAAAATGACTCCAGATCGTTGTGCAGGTCTGATCTGCAACTACAGGAAACGTTTGGTTGAGGTTATTGCTGCCAAAGGAGGGTCAACCAGTTATTAAGTCCAAAGGTTCACATACTTTTTCCTCCCTGCACTGTGAATGTTTACATGTTATGTGCAATTAAACCATGGCAACATCTAATGTTTGTGTAGTATTATGTTCAGCAGACTGTGTTCTTCTATTGTTGTGACTTAGATGACGTTCAGAGCACATTTTATGCCCAATTCATGCAAAACTCCACATAATCCCAAGGGGTTCACATACTTTTTCTTGCAACTGTAAATATATCTTTGTACCCCTCAACTCACCCCATCAGTCTCCTCACAAATACCTAATTTACTAACAGACATCAAAATAGATGTCATACCGCTACCTATCCAAAGCTGAGTTCATAATATTTTCTCCCCTATGTTCCACTTTGCCGAACTTCTCCGTCAAGAGTGATGGCACAACTATTGGTCTGTCTGTCCCCATATGCCAGGTTGTTAGGTGTAACCCTGGACTCTGAACTGTCCTTTTGACCCCACATCCAATTACTCTATGCTACTTTAACCCTCTGCAACATCTCCAAAATACGCCTCTTCTACACCAACACCACACCAGCTTCTAATATACTCCCTACTTATCTCTCGCTACTGCAACTCCCCCTCCTCATTGTCTTACCTTTACATAGACTATTCCCCCTCCAGTCCATCATGAATACTGCTGCCAGGCTCATCCACCTCACCAACCGTTCAGTGGCCTCCACCCCTCTCTGTCCCTCACTGGCTTCCATTTAGTGTCCTCCACCCCTCTCTGCCAATCCCTCCACTGGCCTCCATTCAGTGTCCTCCACCCCTCTCTGCCAATCCCTCCACTGGCCTCCATTCAGTGTCCTCCACCCCTCTGCCAATCCCTCCACTGGCCTCCATTCAGTGTCTTCCACTCCTCTCTGCCAATCCCTCCACTGGCCTCCATTCAGTGTCTTCCACCCCTCTCTGCCAATCCCTCCACTGGCCTCCACTCAGTGTCCTCCATCCCTCTCTGCCAATCTCTCCATTGGCCTCCACTCAGTGTCCTCCATCCCTCTCTGCTAATCCCTCCTTTGGTCTTCATTCAGTGTCCTCCACCCCTCTCTGCCAATCCCTCCACTGGCTTCCACTCAATGTCCTCCACCCCCTCTCTGCCAATCCTTCCACAGGCCTCCATTCAGTGTCCCCCACCCCTCTCTGCCAATCCCTCCACTGGCCTCCATTCAGTGTCCTCCACCTCTCTCTGCCAATCCCTCCACTGGCCTCCTTTCAGTGTCTTCCACCCCTCTCTGCCAATCCCTCCACTGGCCTCCTCAGTGTCTCCACCCCCTCTCTGCCAATCCCTCCACTGGCCTCCACTTCAGTGTCCTCCACCCCTCTCTGCCAATCCCTCACTGGCTTCCACTCAATGTCCTCCACCCCTCTCTGCCAATCCCTCCACAGGCCTCCATTCAGTGTCCCCCACCCCTCTCTGCCAATCCCTCCACTGGCCTCCATTCAGTGTCCTCCACCCCTCTGCCAATCCCTCCACTGGCCTCCTTTCAGTGTCTTTCACCCCTCTCTGCCAATCCTCCACTGGCCTCCACTCAGTGTCCTCCATCCCTCTCTGCCAATCTCTCCACTGGCCTCCACTCAGTGTCCTCCACCCCTCTCTGCAATCCCTCCACTGGCCTCCATTCAGTGTCCTCCATCCCTCTCTGCCAATCCCTCCACTGATCTTCATTCAGTGTCCTCCACCCCTCTCTGCCAATCCCTCCATTGGCTTCCACTCAGTGTCTTCCACCCCTCTCTGCCAATCCCTCCACTGGCCTCCACTCAGTGTCCTCCATCCCTCTCTGCCAATCCCTCCACTGGTCTTCATTCAGTGTCCTCCACCCGTCTCTGACAATCCCTCCATTGTCTTCAGCTCACAAAACACAAATAAAATTCAAAATGCTAACAACTTACAAAGCCATCCACAACTCTTGTCATAATAGCACCCAAACCGTTCCAAGAGCAAATGTAATGTAAATACAGTTGCCGGTTATCGGCTGCACTTTCTTCACGCTCTCACACCGTGAGAAAAGTACTGGTGCTAACAGGTAACTGTCAGACAACAGATTGGCAATGATCACCAGTGCAGCCTATCTGTGCCCATCAGTGCAGCCTATCCGTGCCTATCAGTGCAGCCTATCCGTGCTCACCAGTGCAGCCTATCCATGCCCATCAGTGCCGCCCACCAGTGCCCCCCATCAGTACAGCCTCATCAACCTCATCAGTGAAGGAGAAAAATTCTTTGCAACATTTTATAATAGAAACAAAGAAAAACTTTTTTTTTCCAAATTTTTTCCTTTTTTTTTTTTTGGTTTATAGCGAAAAAAAATAAAACCCCCAGCGGCGATTTAATACCA